AACGCCACGATCTGGAACAAGTCGACCCAATACACCATCGTGCGTCTCAATTCTGGATCACTCAGGGCTGACAGAACAAACGCATTATGGGAGCCGCCTGTCTAGAACAAATCCACGATAAAAACGCACAAACAATAAACACGTACCCACGCACGTAAACGCTAAGCAAGAATGTCATACTTCGGGTTGCGCTACTAATCTTTGTGACCAGAAGGGCCGACACTGGCGACTCGAAAGAAGAAACGAACGAAAAATGAATCACGCAAAACATCGCACGCACCGTCCTCGTTATGTCTCGCGTTGGATGTGCTTTGCGTTTTCGTGCGATCCAAATTTTTCTGGCACGGCAACGCATCAATGAACGAACATCAGCGGTCCAAAGGAAGAACGGAATGACTTCCAAACCTTTGTAAGACCAATCCCTTACATGTAACGGCATCAAACTGTCACCCTATTCCTTTCCAGTCTGTCTGCCTGGTCGGCTGGATCTTCATCCGTTCATTTTTGAAATTTACCAGCGTCTGATCTCTGACTTGCCCGGCATGATACATCTGTGGAAAATAATTCAATGCTGAATACCGCATGGAAGAACTTGTATACGGCAACTACGAGTATTTCTTGTCGCTTCGCGTGGCGGAGCACATGCATCAACATATGCACGGTCAGACAGCAACTGGCACATTCAACACATGCGAGCAATATCAAACACAACATATCAGATGGGTGCAACCTGCATTTGGGCGGCTGCTAGCGCGGGAGGTCAATTGATTGATTGATTGGGCAGCTGATGGCGGCAGCTGTGGCTCTGTGACTGACGACTCCAGACCTGCAGCCTGCGCTGAGAACATTGAACGCTGCGTACATCGCTGGCACGTCCAAGAGGAGGGAGGGGAGGAGGAAGACGAAGGGAATATTCGAACGGGAACAACGGGGACTCAGAGCTGGAGCCTCGCGGTGGCCAGCGCCACGCCCTCGTCCCACCGGGAGATCAATTACATAGCTCACGCACTCGGACCGCGATCAGTAATCAACTTTGTAGGGTTTTGAGTGACTTGCCCCAAAAGCGTTGCACAAAACATATTGGGCCTTGCGCGCTTATCTCGGCTGCTTGCGAATCCTGACAGAGGCACGGCCCTAAAAACTCGAGCCCTTCGTGAACACAAAACAGATTTGTTTCCGCGTCTTGGCCTGTAGACAATCAAGCAGGCCCGAGGGCATTGCTCCAGAGCATTCCAGAAGGTTCTCAGACCCTTCCGCAGCGCGCTATTCCTCTGGGAGGGCTTTTTTGGGGCCTTTCGAGGAAAGAGGGTGGCTGAGGAAGCTCGCAATGAATTTCGCAAGAAGGGGTGAAACACCCTCGATTACTGTGGTTTGTGGGTATGGGGCTCGGTCGGAGGTTGTGGGGGTGAGATCGCTGTGGAACGGGGAGCCTCCCGCCAGGAAATCGGTTTGGGTTTGGTGTTCGTGTCGTGCGTGCGGGCAACGCGAAGCTGCGTGGGCTTGCGAGAGCAATGACCCCGCCGCTGCTAGGGCGATTCGAATGCAGTGGACGGCCCCTGCACCCTCAATGGGCGTGCGGCGGACCAAAGTGTCCCGCCGTGGTGTCCTGCGGGCCGTGGTGTCCCGTTGGTGTTCCGTTGGTGTCCCTCTCGGTGTTCCGTCGGCGGAGGGCGGGCGGTGGCCGGGGGCGTCCCGCCTTGGTATCGATCGTGATGTCGATAGTGGGATCGATATGAGATCGCAGGAATGGGATGGATAGTGGGATCAAACGTGAGATCGACAGTGATGTTGATTGTGACATTGGTTGTGAGACAGAACGCGGGGTCGATAGTGACATTGCATCGCAACGCAACATCGTCATCACGCGTCGTCGCTAAGTCGAGGGCGCGTCAACGGCATCGAAATAAGCTGTACGGCCCCGCTTGGGCACGGTTTACTATCGACTGCACTGGGTGTCCAAACATGACACGCACGACATACTGAAATGGTGGCGGCTAGAAGGCAAGAACTGACCGAGGCTGAATCTATTACCCCTGACAGAAAACAACGTTGAGTGGGTGTGCGGCGTATCGCCATAGTTGCGCCAGGTCTCAACGCGGCCAAGGGATTGCCAGTGTTTTTTGGTTGTGCCAAAATCCTTTCCTCTGTTTCAGCAGATGGGGATCCTCGACCTGGTACGAACAACTATGGTGGTCCATCGTTGGAGACAGCAAAACGAAACCCAATGAGGTGTGCAATGAAATGCTGCAGTGGATCTGGATATCTGCTATGCTTGTGGGCTGCATATGGCCGCCTGCCGCGGCTCTGTGACAGTCGAGTCAAACAAGTCTGTGTGGTGCTTGTGACCCGCGCGGTGCAGTTGGAACGGTGTCATCATCTACTCAATGTACACCCTGCGAAATGCTTAAGAAATCATGGGTTAAGAAACTCAGAGTCTCAGAATTTGAATAACTACCCAGAACTTCTATCAAAATCTTAGGATGTACATTGAATCATTAAGAATAATCGAGACTCTCGCCGAAAACTTAAGTTTTCTTAAGCATCGCCTAAGGTGTACAGGGGCCTCCTAGATGGGGTCCGAGTAGATGGGGTCGGAGGAGCTCTCCGCTTCGCCGACACATCGGCGATGCTATTGTGACGCCGGAGGTGCATCGGCGACGTCGGCGAGGAGAAAACTGGGCCCCACACCGAGCCGCATCGCCGATGCATCGCCGATGTATCGGCGATGCGGCGCGATCCACCGACCTCATCTACTCTGGCCCCATCTAGGAGGCCTAGACGAGTGGCCTGAAAACCGAGACACGCAAACCAGCGCAAAAGAAGCGCCCTCCTGGCCGCCACGGGCCGAAAAAGCTCGGCATCGCCAGCCAGCGCACGAGGCGGACCATCGGCGGCCGCAAGCAGAAAAAACTCGGAGCCGCCGGCCAGCGAGCGGGGCGGCAGTGGGCGGCCAGGTGCCGAAGCCCAGAACCACCAGCCAACTGCTTAGATCGCAGATGGAGAGTCTTGGGAATCGAATGTGAAAAAACACCTGTCGCCGAAACTGCCGCAGTGAAACTTTGGTCGAAGCCTGCTCAAGATGAGCGGTGCCGCAAGACCGTGGTCTGTTATTTTTGGGACGGAGGGAGGGGGTCTGGGAAGGTCTCTTGGGCCGTGTGCTGGCGGCCTCCTGAGGCTATTGTGGGTCGTAAGAATGCAGCTCGGATTGTCCCCGATAGTGATTCAACTTTGTAATGTTTGGGTCTGCGGAGGTTCTGAAGGGGACCTCTGGCCATCGCTCGGACGTCCATTCCCTGTGTTTTTTTCGGTTTCGTGCGTGTTTTTTCGCCACATGGTCAAGGATGCTCCTCGATGGTCCTCGCCGAAGGGAAATGCACACGTCCGAGCGATGCCAAGACCTCGCACGCCCACCAGACCCAATAAGGCAGGCGAATGCTGCCCGTGGCTCCACTACGTTGTGCCCTTCGTTTCACTGCGATGTCGATCGGCGACCATACTGTCAATTGCTACGGGCTGCATTCGCGTGGATCTCGTTGCGGGCATCTTCCATGCTGCATGTCGGAAGCTGCTTTAATCAATTACCATTTGCTAGAACAACCAATCATGATACCCATGGAGCGCTCGCTGCAAAGAAGCCCCATTTACTAGACGGACATCCACACCTGCTGCGTCCCATCCTTGTCTTTCTCCCTCCCCTCCCCACCTCCCACCAACTTTGACTCCTCTCCCTCTCCCCTTTCCTCTATTTCTTCTCTCCGCTTCGTCACACCGCCAGCCCGCATCACTACTCTGCACAAGCTTCCTTTTGGCACCGCTGGAACCACTAGCAAGCGGTGTCTCAGAAGCCATGCTGCGTGCAAGGGGCGGAATCGGAGGCAGGAGTGCCGCCACATATTACGTATACCTTCCTCCTCCTCCGCCTCCCCCCCTCTCCCTTGTCCTCCTCCTCTGCCCCCTCCGCGTGAAAATCAGAGGAAGAGGACGGCGACGCACTCTCCCTCGTCCACTGCACCCTCCCCCCTCACCCTCTCTCTCTCTCTCTCTCCTCTGCCCCCCTCCACCCTCAGGGGGAACGTTAGGCAGGGACCTGGTCACGGGGAAAACTGTCGCCGATAAAACGGCGATGGCCCCCCCGACTGTCGAGCCGCTCCTTGGCGGGGTGGGCCATCAATGGGCGACTTTGGGTCGACGCCTCCCCCCCTGGCGCCCTGCCTGGGCGGGCCCATCACCCCCCGACGCTTTCCCTGATCCTCTCCCCCTCCCCTGCCCCGCCCCCTCCCTGCCCTCCCACCTCCCAGCGTGGGGACTGCATGGCAACAGACAGCTGGCTGGCTGAGCCCACCAGCCGATGACGAGGGCCAGCCCGCCGGGAAGCTGCGCCCCGGCGGCGACGCCGCGTGCACGTCTCGCGCTTTCGCCCCCTTGCCCCACGTCGAGGGCTTCACGACTTCTGCCGCTTCTCGACTCGCGCTCCAGGTTTCCACGAGTTGTTTCCACTGGTCTGGTTAGCTTGAAGGTCTTGCCTCAACCCATTCCCCGGAAACGTCGCCAAGCCTTCAATGGATCTTCGTCCTACCCTTCCTCCTCCCTCAGCTGCTGCGCCTTTCCACACTTCCGCTTCCACCCCCTCCCCGCCACCTCCATTTTATCCTGCGTCCTCCTCCTCCTCCTATTCCTCCTATTCCTCATCGACCTCTCTAATTAACCCTTTCCTTTCATCCTCCCTCTTTCGGCTCATCCTCTTTCTTTCTCCTCCTCCTCTTCAACCTTCTCCTGCTATTGCTTCCTCCTGCGCCTCTGTCCTCCTTACCCTCGGACCCCCTTCTCTCTGCTGCCCCTTCATCATGCTATCCCTCCCTCTCCGTCCCACCATCCCTCTGACATGCATATGAATATTCATACGTGTTTCTGCGGTCGTGCCCTGGCGCACGAGTAGAATGGCCCCAGGTCCCTTGAACCTTCCATCTCTAGTCCTAATGGTTAGATAGTAGGCTCGAGCCCCAATCGCTGGATATCTCCAGGCTTCCAGTAAGCAGGGTTTTTCACACCCAAAAAGGTTCCAGAAAAGAGATCGTCTTACACGATGCCCACATCCCAACCATGACTCAGCGTGGGTAAGGAATGGCGAACCGGGAACATGGGCCAGATACGGTAAGAGGATGCGTGGTCAAAGTACGATGTACGTATCTCTCACGCGATCGTCGACATCATGGTGTCTAAGCATATGTTAGCTGCGCGCCGCTGTGATCCACAACGGCAACGGATAGCTTGCTTTGCTCGCCTTTGACCTCCGTTCAAAATTGGACGGGAAGGGTCGGGCGGCATACAAGTCACAACATCAACCACATCGAAGCCGTGCCGACATTGTCATCCCATCCTCGCTGCATGCGCCCGACCGCAAGACCGACGCGTGTTCAATTGATGTCGGGTGCCGTGATCCTGACGTACTGCAGGGTGGTCACAGATGTGATGGCCCTGCCTTCCAAGGGCTGACGTGGCCATCGACTTGCGGATGGGCGTTGGCGCCTGCCGCCGCGGTGGCATCGATCCGCGCAGGCCATTGGAATGCAACTTGTTGCCGATTGGCGGTCGGTGGTGAGTGGGGGTGTGGTGCGTATGGCCGTGGCGTGCACGATGGCGTCGACGTGGCCGTCGGCTGGTGTAGCGTCGCAAATGATCCAATGGCCTGGCTCGATTCCGTGAAAGAGAATGGGCGCAATAGGAAGCACCATGCCAAGAGTACACCAACCTGTGCCGTGGAATTCTGGTGTTAGAATCAGAAGCGACCACGCGGTAGTGAGGCCAGTTCCTCTACCAAGTCGGAAATGGGCTGGCGAGCAGTTAAAACATCGATCGTACTAGACGATGCCCATGTCCCAGCCATGGCGTAGCGTAGGGGAGACATGGCGAGAAATGGGATGGGCCACATAATGTAAGTTTATGCGTGGTGAAAGTACGATATACGTATATCTCACGCGATCGTCGACAGCAAGGTGTCTAATCATATGTTAGCTGCACGCCGCTGTGATCCACAACGGCAGCGGATAGTTCGCATTGCTCACCTTTGACCATCGTTCAAAGTCGATTGCCCTATGAGGCGCCTGGGACGGTCCAAGCGGGCCCTGGCTCGGCCCAGGAGCGCTCCGAGATGCCCAAGATGATCTCACGACAGCCCAGGGGGCCCCCAAAGTGCACCAGAAGAGCCCCAAGAACCCTCCCATGAGGACCTCCAAAGGCCAACATCATTGACTTTCCCTCGGGCTTTGCGCGATTTTAGCCCTACTGCCTTTTCGGGATCCCGAAATTCCAAGACGGCCCAAAAGGCCCCCAAATTGGCACTAGAGGCCCCCGAGAGGTACTCAAGCCGGCCCAGGAGGCCCTCTAAGAAGGCTCAGGAGAGCCCGAATAAGGCACAAGAGGGCCCCAAGAGAGGGGAAACGCGACCCAACATTTCTTCACCCCCCGCCCTAAGATGACACCGAGATCGCCAGCAGCCACCAAAGGGCCACCCCCAGGACGACGAAAGGCACCCCAAGAGGCCCTGAAACACTCCCAACACCAACTCCGAAATGCTTCGGAGAAGCCTCCCAGGAACCCCTCCCAGGCATCCAGGGAGCCTTCAACCTAAAACTCGGGGACTGTGGAGGGGTGGGCCGACGGCCGCTCCATATCGTAGATGTACATGTAGATGTACGTGTCTGACTGTTATGGTAATGCGACTATTGGCGAATCGACCCGAGTTGGTCCGGAACCGTATTTGGCTTGGACTTGTGTTGCGGTGGATCAAATTTCCACCGCGCAAATCCGAATTCGGATGTTGTGAATCTGAGTTCCGTCGTTACTGTTCACGTGGCTCAGCTGGCGGACGGAACTCGGATCCGCGGCACCCGAGCCTGCCGCTGTTGAGATTCTACCAGGGAAAATGGGGTTTGGTGACGAACTGTCACAGACAGATCGCGCGTTGTCTCGCGGGACCCATCAACCTTCCCCGCGCGCTGCTCGCACCCAACATGGATACTTCTTTCCTCGCCCCCGTCTGCTCAAGCATCTGGCCCAGACGCTGTGCGTTTGGTGGCGCCGATGCTCTCAATCCAACCGCTTGTCGCCGCTGGCGCCTCAAGAGGAACACCTTTCGTCCTGCTTAAGTCTGTAGCAGTGTCTGTACCTACGTGTGCACATGTATAAGAGTGTATAGATATGGATGGATGGATGGAAAGACAGATAGACCGATACATAGATGTGTGTGTGTGTCTGTGTGCGGCCCTGTATTTGCCACCGTGTCTGCAATACGTACTAATGGAATGCCCGTCAATGTCTTTAAGGTTTTCAAGGCCCTGGTCACCAATTCCACAAGGATTTTCATGGATCCCCCAGGGTTTCCGAGGATTTCCCCGGATTCCCGGGGATCTCTGAAGATTCCCCTGGCCTGTCGCGCGCGTCTTTCGGTAGCGCAGCCGGCAAAACATGAGCCCAAAACGCGCCCAAGATGGGGCGGAAGATGCCTCTGAGAAGGCACAATAGGGCCCCAATACGCCCAAGATGGCCTCAACACGGCCCACTAGGCCCCGACGATGTCCCAAGAGTGTTCCAAGCAGCGCCCCAACAGGGCCCCAAAGGCACGAATCACTGATCTTCCTTAGGTTCTAGGGGAATTTTGGCCTTCTCGCCTGTCCGGCCTTCCGATGCTCCACATCGGGCCCGCGAGGCCCTCTGGATCGCCCCGAGACGGCTGCAGAGGCCCCCAAGGGCACCAAGAAGGCCCGAGAGGCCTCCCTCCACAAGGCTTCAAGCGCGAATAACTTTGCGCTCTCGCGTCGCCTCCCAAGGGAGAAGTGGAGGGTGAGGAGGAATCGGAGCCGAACCGCGAATAACTTCGCACCCTCGAGGGCGCCCTTGGAGAGGACTCCCTCCAAGACGACCCGAGGGGCGCCCAAGGCGGCCAGGAGGGCCCAGAGACGGCCCCAAGAGGAGGCCCATTATGGGGGGAACCTCACAGACAGTTCGAGCCCTCGGCCAGTCGGCCCCCGGAGGGCCCCCCAAGAGGCCCCCACGAGGCCCTGAAGAGTTAAGTCGGGCGTGTCCCTACAGGGGGATTTTCGACGAAGAATTAACAAATACACAAAAAATGCCCAGAAGATGCCCCCACATACTAAAAAAATAGTCCCCAGACTATGTTTTGTCAATTTTTGAATATTCCCCCTGTAAAGGGACAGGCCCGACTTAACCCTAAATTGAGGCCACCCAGAGCGCCCCGAAAAAGCATCCCTGAGAACTCCGACCCACCACTCAGGCACAGTGGCGGGCCCAAATGTATCCAAGACGGCCCAAGATGCACCCAAGACGGCCTCAGAGGCCTCCAAGACGGCCCAAGAGGCCTCCAAGAGGACCCGAAGAGGCCAATATCATTGTTTTTCCATAGGTTATTTGCAGAGTTTTGGCATTTGCTCTTTTTCGGCATTCCGGACTGCCTAAGAGGCCCCCAAGATCGCCCACGAGGCCTCCAAGATGGCCCCATGACGGCCCAAGAGGCCTTCAGGGCGGCCCCCAGAGGGCCCCAACAGGTCTCCAAGACGGCCAAGATGGCTTGCAAAACGGTTAAGACGGCACAATATGCACCCAAGACGGCCCAAGATGGCCTCCAAGAGGCCTGCAAGACGGCTCAAGAGTCTTCCAACATGTCCTCCAGAACGGCCCGAAGAGGCCAACATCATTGATTTACCTTGAGTTTTCGAAAGATTTGGGCATTTGCGCCTTGTCGGCCTTCCGACGGCCCAAGAGGCCCTAAGGTCGCCCTAAGATCGCCCACGAGGCCTCCAAGATGGCCAAATGACGACCCAAGAGGCCCCCAAGGGCCCAAAAAGGGCTCAAGACGGCCCAATAGACCTCCAAGACGTCCAACCTAATCTCCAACACGGCCCTGAAGCTGCCCGCCCCAAAAGAGGCCTCCCAGACGGCTTCCGACGGTGTCAGACGGGTCGGGAACGCCCTAAGACGGCCAAAGAGGCCATCAAAGGCCCCCAAGGCCCCAAGAAGCGCCCCAAAAGGCTCCCTAGAGGCCTTCAGGAAGCTCCGCAGGAGGCCTTCCAAAAGGCTTCGCAAGACGGTCCCCAAGAAATCTCCTCCTACTCCTCCTCCTTCCCCATCATCCTCATCCTCATGCTCCTCCTCCACCTCCTCATTTGAGGGAGTTTCTGTGGAACTCACGTCATCCTCACCCCCGGCGCGAAGAGCACGAGTCCAGAGCGGCCTCCGGCACCGTTTCCGGACAGATCCGGTGGATCCGCTGGATCCGCTGGATCCGGTGACGAATCCCAAACCGGCGCCCTCGCTTGAGACATCCTCACAAAACCGGCCCCGGGGGAGGTGCCCAGAGGAGCCCAGAGCGGCCTCCGGCACCGTTTCCGGACAGATCCGGTGGATCCGCTGGATCCGCTGGATCCGGTGACGAATCCCAAACCGGCGCCCTCGCTTGAGACATCCTCACAAAACCGGCCCCGGGGGAGGTGCCCAGAGGAGCCCAGAGCGGCCTCCGGCACCGTTTCCGGACAGATCCGGTGGATCCGCTGGATCCGCTGGGTCCGGTGACGAATCCCACAGGGTGTTCGCATTCAACCCGGAGATGTTACCGGCGCGGGTCAGCGCAGGTCAGCGCAGGTCAGCGCGGATCCGCGCAGATCAGCGCAGGTCAGCGCAGGTCACGCGCTCCTCAGAAGCGCTGGTCAGCGCAGGACAGCACAGGTCAGCGCGGGTCAGCGCAGGTCAGCGCAGGTCAACGGGGTCAGCGCAGGTCAGGCCAGTCAGCGCAGGTCAGCGCAGGTCAGCGCAGGTCAGCGCAGGTCAGGCCAGTCAGCGCAGGTCAGCGCAGGTCAGCGCAGGTCAGCGCAGCTCAGATTGTGCCCTGTCCTCCCTGTCCGAGACCCGTGCCGTCCTGCGTCGTTCTGTGAGGACCTGCGCTGACCTGCGCTGACTTGCGCTGACTTGTGCTGACCTGATCCACAGAGGTCCCGGGACGTTTCACAGAGGCCTCTACTACTACTGCTACTACTACTACTACTACTACTACTACTACTACTACTACTACTACTACTACTACTACTACTACTACTACTACTACTACTACTACTACTACTACTACTACTACTACTACTACTACTACTACTACTACTACTACTACTACTACTACTACTACTACTACTACTACTACTACTACTACTACTACTACTACTACTACTACTACTACTACTACTACTACTACTACTACTACTACTACTACTACTACTACTACTACTACTACTACTACTACTGCTACTGCTACTGCTACTGCTACTACTACTGCTACTACTGCTACTACGCCGGCGCTTGCGGAGGGCAGAGTCAGCTGCGCAAGAGGCGGCGAACACCGACATAGGCAAGGAACTTCTCAGCACAGCTCAGGCTTTCTTTGCACGCGACGAAATGCGCATAGAAAGTTTCTACCGTGGAGTGGAGGGTCCTACTGTGCCTGCTAGGAGGGGGGCAGAGAAATTCTTCATTCGCGTGCCTGTAACGGTCGTTACCTCAACGCTCCCCCCTCCCTCGTGCGTTTGGTAACGACCGCTGCATCAGGCGAGTGAAGAATGACTTGTGGGAAGGCCGTGTGACGAGAACGGTCGGCTACATGCTCACGTCGCGTTGCAGCAGACGGCAGCATGGGAGCCCTTCGTCGGGAGGGCGGCTGAAACAGCCAGGTCAAAGGCCAAGAGGGGGCAGCACCTTCAGCGAGCGAGCGTCCGTCGCCATGAAGTGGTACACTTACAAAGGAGTCTGCGCCGACTGGGATATGAGTCCAGTGGTTTTTGATGACTCCAAGAGTACCCTGTCGCAAATCGTGAAGTGTAGCCCTTCAGCATCTTCGGCATTTTTCACGCCTTGCATCTACATCTTTCTGCTGGCGATGCCTGGCTCGGATGAATACCACGCTGAACTCGTATCGCGGCTAGAGAAATCCTGGAACACTTTTTATGGGGTCGCCATGGTGGTAAATG